ATATTACGTCCATGACGTCGCAGACGTACAATCACCAAAATTACACGTCTATAAGACGTGTCACTGTCAGCTGGGATTATACGGCCTGGTTAACAAAAGTTGCTAAATGCATTATTAAAGGTAAATTAGGTGCTCCACCTTCATACTAAAATTAGATTTTTTTTTCGAAATCAATTTTATCGTGCCTATGGAAACTCTAGTATGTATAAAAACTGTGTATATAAAAATTGGAGAATGTAGGTAGGAATAATTTTAAAGGGTTCCTAAAAAATAAAATGTTTTTCACTTATACAGGGTGTCCCAGGTTTTAGTAGCTGGACTTTACCAGCGAATTCAGAAAATTATTTTAACTATAGTTCCTATGAACTTTTATCCAAATATTGCTTCTTTCTGCAGATACAGGGTGTTCATGAGATACAGGGTGTTAAAGTTATAATAATTTTTGATATTTTGTTTAATATCTTCCTAAATATAAAAGATAAATTTGGTATATTTTTATTAGTATTTTTGTTTTTAATATTTTTCTATTATTTTTTCTACTTTTGAAAGTAGAAGGTAGAGCTTAAAAACAATAAAAAAAATACAGTAATTTCATTTAAAAATATATAAAATGATCTACCCCACACAGTTCGCCTAGACCAAAGTTTCAACAAAAAAAATATATAAAAGGTGAACCACATATTTTTCAAAAGTCCATATTTCTACCTTGTAAAAAAATATATTTTCAAAATCGGCTACGTAGCTATTTGTTTTTTACAGGATGTTGTATATTTTGGTATATTTACTCCTATGAAATGTACTATAATTTTGTTTTAATTAACAAAATAGCCAAAATCATTAAATTGTTGCGATTAATATTTAATAAAAAATGTGAAATTTTTTACTTTTTGATATGAAACAACAATTTTTCATAGTTTAAGTCTTTATTTAAACGAGAACAACTTAGATAATTACTCAATTATTGTATTTTAAATATGTCTACTGTTATAGGCACTGACGCTTCTAATTAACTGTTTTATATAATTTTCAGAATTTGGGTTTAGATTAAAGTTTTTAGAAAAGGTTTTGTAGGAGTAATGTAGCTGTTCTGAAGCCTGTTCTGAGTAGAACCCCAGGGCTCGACTTGTTATGTCAATGAAATCAGCCACATGGTATACGACGCTGTGTATTTTTGGAGTTATTTTGATATTTGCTTTTTTTATTTCTTCATAAAAGTTGTCAATATATATTTTGTAGTTGGCATCCAGATTTTGCCCAAAGCAAGCAGCTACTACTTTGTCAAAAGACTTCAATACAGGTATGTACTTATTTCCTAAAATGCAAAAAATATATTCAAGACCTATTGTTTTTATTTTACCTAGGAGTTTTGTTTTTTAATAAAAATAGAAAATTTTATAATTTCCGTCTATACGAGATAAATTCAAAACAAAACAAAAATGCAGGAAATCAGAATTCACCTGGGGCCAAATTTTCTAAGTTAGACACTTTTTTAAGTAGTTTTCTTGAATTGTTGCCATTTAAACGGTTGTAATGGTCAAGTTGTATATTAGATTTCTTTAGCCACTTTTCCGTTATTTCAGGCAAATCCTGTTTTATTCCATCCAAAATCTTTTGAGCAACGCCCATCAACAAATGAAGTTCTGGGGGTGCCACGTATTTAATAATTGGTTCAAAGACATCTCCAATTACGAGAGGGATGTTAACACAATTTCCTAAAAATATTGTAATATGTATATACGTATACGTATATCTGCTAATTGTACTTGTAATACAATAAAAGTAAAAAAACTAAATGTAAACGTACCAAAATGTTTTGTTTTGCTAAGGTCACAACCTTGTTCTTTCCATTGATTGGTGCATTTTGTTATATTCTCGATGGTTCTTAGTTGTCCCTTATTTGCCAAATCTTTATTGCTTATATCACACCAAGGGCAAGGGTGACACGATGAGTTTGACTGAAGGCCTAATATGATCATTAGTAATTTTAAATCGGCAGCAAAGGTGTAAGAACATATACCGCAAATTTTATGAATTTCAATGACTTTAAAAAGCATTTCGATATTTCTGTATGTCTCAATCATTTTGGGTCCTAGACCAACTAGCATTAATTTTTTTATGCTGGTGCTTTTACAATTTTCTTTTTCATCTGTTTCAGTAAGGGAACATATAGAAAAGCAAAGCTTTAAGGATCCTCCCCCACTGTCAAGTCCAAATTTAATATGAAAATTATTCTCAGATAAGTCTCGTTGATTTAGTAATTGTACAATAAATTTGGATAAGTTGGAACAGTAAATCAAAGGCACAGATTCTGTCACATGTTTTCCAACATCAGCTTCGGGTACAATTAAATGAGAAAAAAAGTCATCCAAAGAATGACTAAGATCTTTAATGTTTTTAATCGCATTTGGTTCTATTAATTTTTTATCTACTTGTCTTATTCGTTGAGTTAGCATTTTTAAACTATTTTCAGGTAAATTGCAATCGATTTGTATATTTCGTAAGTCATTTGTTGTTATAACAGCTTTATTTTCATTGTTTTTTTTACATAATAACTCCAATTTCAGTTCGACTCCTCGTCCTTTATTTAATTTTAAAGAGGAACTGCTTTGAGCCACTTCTTCTGTTAATAGGATTTGACTTGCAATTTGTTGACTACAGTTTTTGGCAAGTTTAATTGTATTAGACACTTTACTTCTTATATTACATGAATGCCTTACACCCTTTTGAATTTTTGTGTGACACTTAAGACATAATTTAGCTAATTTCGGTAAGACATCAGTACTTTTTCTTTTCTGCCTTCCGACAGGTAACTTTTTAACAATACGTCGTATAGATGGTAGTTGTATTTGGGCATTTGGAATGGGACGAAAACGAGCAACTTGACAAATGGGGCAACTGCACATTTCTAAATTTTCATGCCTTTTTAGCCTAATTTTATCCGTGGTGTATTCAACCACTGCAGTTACTTTTTTTTGCATTAATTTAAAATAGCAACTGCGACAAATAACCGCAGGCATACAATCATCATTTATGTTATATTCAGGTATTAAATCCAATATTAAACTAAGTACTTTACCCTTTATTTTCACATTTCGCACAGCTTTATTAAAACACATATAGCACACTGCAAACCGAGAATCTTCATGAGACCGAGGTACTTGTCTATGAGGTGACATATTTTTGTGTACAGTTGAAAATTATTTGACAGTTATCTTTTTGAAAGGTAGCCAAAGCCGCCTAGGTACCTACTTGGATTAATTTGTAACGTAGCCGAAACCGCTTACGTATTTGTGCCTTCTGAAATAAACTTAAATGTTTAATTTTTAAAGAAAAAATGTTATATATAAATATATATATATATACAAAAACTCTTTAATTATTTTTGAGCCTAATTTTCTTATTAAGAGTGTAATAATAGACAATATTAACCTTCTTACATGAGTATAAATATAGCACAATACAAGATTCGTCATAAAAAAATAAACATCCTGTAAAAAATAAATAGCTACGTAGCCGATTTTGAAAATATATTTTTTTATAAGGTAGAAATATGGACTTTTGAAAAATATGTGGTTCACCTTTTATATATTTTTTTTGTTGAAACTTTGGTCTAGGCGAACTGTGCCCACGTTTATGCATCAATAAAAATATTTGTAAATTTGAGTCTCTGTAATTTATTAAGACCAGTTTTTATATTTATATTTTAAAAATTATTTTATTTTACGATGTTAAACTGTAAATAAAATTTAAATTTAATTTGATTTTTAATTCCCTTTTATCTTTTAGCTTTTATCGAAGCTTAAGCAAACCCTGCCAAATCATAAGTGGAAGTTAAATCAAGAATTAAAACATACTAGATAATATTTATCCTAATCGAGTTTTTATTATTATAAGTAACACTGTAGAAATCACAGTGTAGAAACGTTAATTTCTGCGGCATTTAATAATAGATTTTTATGTGGCAGCAGAATTTGCGATGTTGCCAAATTTAAGGGCTTCGTAAGCACTGAAAAACGTATCGGGATTCTTATCATACATGAAATACATACAAGTGCATATACAGGCCCTCTGGCGGCCAATCGACCGAACTAAAGGTGTATAAATTAAGATACTTTACCGACTTATGAAGCCCATCTAGTTTTTTCGAAATAACAATAGATGGAATCACCTACCCCTAAGAAGGCTATATACGCAATAATTTTTAGGAAGCCCGATTTGGGCTGCGTAAAATTTTCGCGGGCTTCATAACATCCGTAAAGTGTATCATTTTGGGCTTGGTAATGATGGTTTCCATATATATATATATATGTTTTTGGATAAACGTCATTAATTTTTTTTGTTTTAGAAGATTTTTAGAAATTGTAAAATGCATTTTAAAGAACGTTGTTTTGACAGTAGACACTTACAAAAATTTCAAAATTGTTGATAAATTACTTACATGACGAATTTAATTTTTTTCGAAAAAACGTCGGTAATTTTTTTGTTTTAAAAGATTTTTTAAAAATTGTAAAATACATTTAAAAGTGGGTTATTTTGACAGTAGACGCTCCCAAAATTGTCAAAATTGTTTATAAATTACTAAACTAACATGACGAATATTGATTTTTGGGAAAACGTCAATAACTTTTTTGTTTAAGAAGATTTTTAAGAGTTGTTAAATTAATTTAAAAGAGCGTTATTTTGACAGTAGACACTCAAAAAATGGTCAAAATTGTTCATTAATTACTAAACAACGATTTATTTTTTATTTTTAAAACATTATTATTTTTTTTGTTTTAGAAGATTTTTAAAAATTGTAATTGTAGAAGGCCAATATTTTGACATTAGCTCTTTAAAAAATGGTCAAAATTAATAATGATATAGTTCCATAACGATTTTTTTTTAAATGTCATTACCTGTTTGTAAAAACTGTAAAATGCATTTAAAAGAGCGTTATTTTGAGAGTAGGGTCACAATTGTGTTGTGGTTTTTTTAAAAGTACGCTTTAATGTTTCTATTAGATGTTCCCAAAATAAACGAAGATAATGGAGATCTGTCGTCGGTCAGCTTGGAGCTGACGAGTTCTCGACAGCAACCGCCATTGGTCGTGATCGACACCGCTCGTACGGCCTCGCTGTCGAGCAAAAACAGCAACAGCACGGATTCGGATCGAACGCCCGTTCGGGTCGACTCTCAGGACTCTCAAGTGTCGGACACGGACACCATAACAGACGAGCATCGGTGGCCCAGACAAAACAGCGTGAGTAAAAAAGATTCGGCACTTTTGGTCAAACTGACGTCATCTTAAAACCGTTTTCTCCAGTTATCTATGAGGGAATGGGACATACCGTTCCACGAAGTGCAGCTGGGCAGCGAACTCGGTACGGGTAGATTTGGCACCGTCTATCAAGGCAAATGGCACGGCGATGTTGCCGTTAAGATCCTAAACGTCAACTATTTAAAGGACGAGAAAACGCTGGAGCAATTCAAGATGGAGGTTGCTACTTTTCGGAAGACGCGTCACGAAAATCTGATACTTTTCATGGGTGCCTGCATGAAGCCGCCGCAGTTAGCGATCGTGACCAGTTTGAGCAAAGGCAACACGCTTTACACGCATATACATTTAAGAAAAGACAAGTTCAACATGAACAAGACGACGATAGTTGCGCAGCAAATTTCACAAGTAAGTGTAAAGTTAATTTTTTTTATCTGGACTGCGGCAACATAGCAAATTTAGGGTTTTGGTTGGTAAATACAGTTGTCAAGTTGGTCGCATTGATTAAAACAAACTAAGCTAGTTATAAATCTAATTGTGGTTATGTATAAATTATTGTAGGTTACATTGTGCAGTTGTCAAGTTGAGTTGTCGAAATGCGTAGTTAAAAATGCAATTAATTTGGCGTTGGTGGGGCTTGGATGAGTAAAATCATATAAAAAAAGTAGTTAAATATAGGTTGCTTTACGGCCCTTAAGATAAAGTGTTCCTAGCGGATAATAATCTTCGCTTTGAAAGAATTTATATAAAAGAAATTAAAATTTTTTGTCCAATGGTGAATAATGTGAAAATAATGTGTGATGTAATATTTATAAAACCAAATTCGTTACTTTTTTACTCCAAAAATGTCCATAAGGCGAAGTACTTTTTCTTCCTTTGTAGCATTTGGCATAATTTCATCAAAATGAAGTTTTGCCCTCAAAAGGGCTTTTACATTCGAATTCGTTGCTATTATTTTTGGCATTATTATCTTTTTATTTATTTAATTGACAAGTAAATTATCGTAAGTAATATCATAAGGGCATTTAATTTTTCCGAAAATAATCGAAAAAACACGTTGCTAAGTAATATTTTAACAAAAAGCATGAGTGCTGGTGGCAACAAAAATCCGAGTTGAAGAGGAGGACTTTTGCACCTGCACGAATGCATTTTGTTAAAAAATATTGCTTAGCATTGTGTTTTTTCGATTTTTTCACAGGAAAAATTTGATCCCGAATGGTATTTGACAAGACTATTTCATGAGTAACAGTTAACAATTAAAATATAAATTTTAATTTTTGGTGACAATAGCTGTCAAGTTTTGCCGCGGGTAAACTCGAAAAAACTGCTGACAGGTGCTGTCACACAGTTTTTTCACCTAGAAACCATTTGTATTATTTGAATTAAATTCAAAATTGCGCGTTTGTGATTGGTGGAAATTAAGACGAGGGAAATAGTCAATAATAAATATTATTGTCAATTTGACAGTGTCAAAGTATTTAATTCAAGTCCTTAGCAGAAGTACCATTTTTAAATACTAAAAATACTAAGTCAAACTGGCCACCCAACTAACAAAAAAACACGAGTCCAGATAAAAAAAAATGAACTGTATTTATTTTTAAGAGTTAAATTCTTAGGAATAACATATTTTAGGGTATGGGCTACCTTCATGCAAAAGGAATTGTGCACAAGGACTTGAAAAGCAAAAATATTTTCCTGGAAAACGGAAAAGTTGTGATAACCGATTTTGGGCTTTTCAGCGTGACGAAGTTGTGTTTTGGTAATCGGTATGTTGTTAATTGATTTAAATTTTTCGTAAATAATAATTAATATTTCTATGATAGAAAATCTGATAGTTTAAATATACCTCCCGGATGGCTGTGTTATTTAGCTCCAGAAATAATGAGAAGTCTACATGCTCATCAGGCTCATGACGAGGAATTACCCTTTAGCACTGCGTCGGACGTCTATGCTTTTGGGTGAGAGAAAAATCCTTAATTCATCCGATTTCATTAATTTCCTCCATTATCTTTATCGATTTTTTACTTTCTTCCTTATCTCTAAATTTGCGTTAGGTTTTCGAAATTTTTTTTGTTAATTGCTTTCATACAGTTTTACAAATACCATTTAGAAAAACTGTAAAATGCATTTAAAAGAGCGTTAGAGTAAACCTTCAAAAATTATGAGACATAAAGAATAATTTATTTTTGAAAAACGTCAGTAATTTTTTTGTTTAAGAAGATTTAGAAAAAGTGTAAAATGCATTAAAAAGAACGTTATTTTGTCAGTAGACACTCAAAAAATTGTCAAAATTAATGATAAATTACATGACAAATATCTATTTTTGAAAAACGTAATTTTTTTGTTTTAGAAGATTTAGGAAAATTATAAAATGCATTTAATAAAGCATTATTTTGACAGTTGGCAGTAAAAAAATTACAAAATTGATGATAAGTTAACATACTTACATGACAAATATTTATTTTTGAAAAAACGCCAGTAATTTCTTTGTTTTAGAAGTTTTATAAAAACGGTAAATTGCATTTAAAAGAACGTTATTTTGTCAGTAGGCACTTAAAATTTGTGATAAATGACTAGACTTACATGACAAACATCTATTTTTGGAAAACGTCAGTAATTTTTTTGTTTTAGAAGGTTCATAAAAACTGTAAAATTCATTTAAAAAAATGTTACTTTGACAGTAGCCTCTTAAAAAATTGTCAAAATTGTTACCATACTTTATTTTTTGAAAAATAGTCAATAATTTTTTTGTTTTAGAAGATTTATAAAAAGTGTAAAATGCATTTAAAAGAGCCTTACTTTAACAGTAGAGCCTTGAAAAATTGTCGAAATTGTTGATAAGTTACCATACTTCATGACAATTATCTATTTTTTTGGAAAAACGTCCACCATTTTTTGGTTTTAGAAGATTAATAAAAACTGTAAAATGTATTTCACAAAAAATTATTTTGTAAGTAGACACTTTAAAAATTGTCAAAATTAATGATAAATACCAGACTTACATGACGAATATTTATTTTTGGAAAAATCTCACTAATTTATAAAAAGTGTAAAAATACATTTTAAAAGAACGTTATTTTGTCAGTAGACACTCAAAAAATTATCAAAATTGATGATAAATTACTAGACTTACATGACAAATATTTATTTTTGGAAAAAGTCAGTAATTTTTTTCTTTTAGAAGATTTATAAAAACTGTAAAATGCATTTAAAAGAGAGTTATTTTAAAAGTAGCCCCTGTAAAAACTGAGAAAATTGAGGATAAATTGATAGACTTACATTACAAATATTTATTTTCGGAAAAACGTCAGTAATTTTTTTGTTGTAGAAGATTTTTAAAAGTTGAAAAATTCTTTTAAAAGACATTCAAAAAATTGTTAAATTTAATGATAAATTACTAGACTCGCATGACAAATATCTATATTTAGAAAAACGTCAGTAATTTTTTTGTTTTAAAAGATTTAGGAAAACTGTTAAATGCATTTAAAAGAGCGTTTTTTTATAATAGACCCTTAAAAAATTGTCAAAATTGATGATAATTTACTATACCTACCGGACGAATATTAGTTTTTGGAAAAACGTCAGTAAATTTTTTGTTTAAAAAGATTTTTAAAAATTGAAAAATGCATTTAAAAAAAAGGTTATTTTGACAGTAGGCCTTTAAAAAAGTGTCAAAATCGATGATAAATTACTAGACTTTCATAAAGATTTAGAAAATCTATAAAATTTAGCCTTACAAATCGGGAAAATTTAACGATCTTAGACAGAATATTTCGATTTTTAGCACTGTATGGTACGAATTGCTGTGTGGAGAATGGCCTTTTAAAGGTCAGCCGCCAGAGGCCGTTATTTGGCAGGTTGGGAAGGGTATGAAGCAACCTCTTGCCAATCTACAAGCATCCAGAGACGTCAAGGTAAGTTTATAAATCGACGGTAAACTCTCTCTTAATGTATTTTACGTTTATTTGTTTGAACATTAGCAAAACGATAGCGATGATATGAGATTGGTGAGTATTTTGCATCAGGGATTTTTTGGGTTCGAAATATTGTCCTTCTGGCTTCTAAATTTTTATTTGCAATTTTTTTAAGTAATGGTGATTTGGTGTTTCCAGTGAATATTCTTGATTTTGTATATTAAATTTTTTAAAGGACATCTTGTTGGCATGCTGGAAACTCGATCCTAAAGACAGGAAAGATTTCGTCGATCTGCAAACAATTTTGGAAAAATTTCCGAAAAAACGATTGGCTAGAAGCCCGTCGCATCCAATACACCTATCCAGATCTGCCGAGTCTGTATTTTAAAAACCTTCAGTCCTTTGTGACTTGTTTGCCATCAAGGTACTTTTTACTTGATCGTTATATTTTAATGTTAATCCATCAGTTATTATTTTCCACTTTTTGTTTGAATTTTATTTGTGTTGTTATTTTATTTTCGTATTTTTGTTCATCTTCTTCTATAGTTTTGGTTATGTAGTTTTTTATTTATATGTTCTCTACTTTTTCTTTTGTGGTTATTAGGGTGATTCTAAAAAATAGAATATTTGTTTTTTTTACTTCCGACACTGAAAAATTGGTTTTTATGCACCTTTAGAAAGTCCTCACCAAATTTGGATTTAATACATGAGTCCTTTTTGTAGAGCATTCAATTTCCTACAAAAATATGTCTAAAGATTTGATTAAACGATTGATTAATAATGAATATTTTTTATAAGGAACTATAGAAAAACTGTGATAAGGAGGATCTTCCTATTAATATTAAGAGCTCACTTTTGGGGAGCACTTTCTAGAGGTGCCTAATAACCAATTTTTCAGTGTCAAAAGTAAATAAAATATTTGATTTTTTTTAATCACCCTAGTGGTTATTTGTATTATTTATACTTGTGGACGTCATCCATTTTTCGGGGATTTCATTTTATTTCCTCCTAGGACATTCTGATGCTTTGCTGGTCGTTCCGTCCGGAGCACAGACTGGAATTCGGCACCTTGTTCAACATTTTCAATAAATTGCCGAAGCGGAGGTTGGCACGCAGCCCATCGCACCCGGTGCACCTGTCCAGGTCAGCCGAGTCCGTCTTTTGAAACATAAACCCCATTCTAACCTTAAGGATTGTTACGTTTATAATAATGGAGCTGCAACGAATATTCTTCTTAAGTCCATCTTCGGCCATGGAGATGGAAATTCGATTTTACAAACAAGCAAAAATGACTGCTTAACAATGAATTATAGAAATATGTTTCAAAATACTATTTACTTAGAATTAAAAATGTTAATGAAGCATAATATATTCAAAGTAACGATTGGCTGAATAGTAAGGCCGAATATTCGGTGCCGCAATATTTATGAACAACATGCTATATTATTATTATAAATTAAACTAAACTTAATTTACGTAATATTATTACATACAGGGTGTCCCAGAACTCGCGCTACAGAGAAATAGAGAGACGATAGAACATGTTGTCTTAAAACTTTTAAAAATCCTTTGCCCCCTGAACTGTGCAACTTCCCTAAGCTCTTCCTACTATTTGCATCAAAGGCATTGAAAATAGCTTTTTTATTTTCCGCTGTTCTAATGCGTTAAGGAGCACCTTCAATTTCGTTACAACGCAGAACAACTTTACAGTCCAGGGGACTGTAAATAATCATCATTTCGGCATAATCAGAGGAGGAAAACATAACTTAAAATGATAAATAATGACAGGAACAAAAATTGACAGCAGTGTCAGAATTAAGTGAATTCCAGGCGACCAAATATTTTACACTTGTGATAAGTGTAAAAATGTGCTATGTTAAATATTAATGTAAATATTTAGAGGATAAGCCTGTAATGAAATGTAAATTTCGAAAGGTTTTTTTTTTTAATAAATTCTATTCTGTATTATAATATCAACAATGCATCCAAAGTATCCTAGCAATTTAAAAAATTCCCTATAGCCATGTATTGGGATTGAATATCGTTTTTTTTTTCTAATCTCGCTTATCCTTTGAGTTGGATTATTTTAATTTTCAAGTATGTGTTTCGCATAACTTATACGGCACGTTCCCTTTTTCTCTGTGGCGCGAGTTCTGGGACACCCTTTATAAACTTGTACGCTTGTCAATCAGAGGGCGGAAGCTCCCTGATTACTCCAACTTTATGGTAGGAATTATTTTTTTATGTTTTAATCCCAGCAAACAAAATTTGGGCTGGAATTGGCCAAAAATTAAACAAACATTAAAATTTTTGTGCAAATAGTAGGTAATTTTATTGAGCAACATAACCTTCCAATAGTTGTCCAATTTGTTTAAATCTTGACCAATTACATTGGTAGAATTTTATAGATCTTCAGATTAACTCTTTTCTTGGATATTTTCACTTATAAATAGAAATTTAGACAACAAACTTGTATTGGGTCAATTAAATTGGCTCAGAAATTGGCCCAACCACTTGTTTGCTGGGATTATTTACCTAAAATGTTAAGGTTTATTAAGGTTAAGTAAAATATTTTCCTTTTTAACAGTAAGTACTGTTAAAAGAGAACGTATTTTTACACTTGAGTTTATTTTTATTTTTTTGACTATAGGTTTGTATTTTATATAAAAAAATGTCAAATTGACCATTTGTTGTCTCTTAATTTGCATGTGCAATATTTGTAAAACCTTCACAAAGACTTATTTACATTATAATTAAAACAATTTTTTTATTTAAATAAGTCAAAATACTTATCATGACGTTGGAAAATGGTTATTTAAAAGTGCTTTCATATGTAAGATAGGCTATTTCTAAAATACAAAAAAACACTGGTGGCAAATTGTTATCACCCATGCCTCAAAATGTTTTTTTTCTTTAATCAGGGGACTCATATATTTACAAATAAACTTACAACCATAAGTGTATTGGTGTAAAATGATGTTTAATGTTACAAATAAGGCCTAAACTATCCCCATATGCACTTACACAGGGTGAAACAATTTTTTACCAATTCAAAAATCGACTTAGGAATTTTAGGTTTTCGTTTAAGTTAAATTTTGAAGAATTAAAAGCCAGTGTTCAAATTAAATGTTGTTGAGTGTGAATGGTGACATTAAACAAAATACGCGAGACAGCAGCGCGTATAGCGGACAAATTTGGCACTGTTTTATACAAAAATTAATTAAAATGTGTTTATTCGGGATTTCAAGTTATAAATTATAACTTATTATTATTAAACAAATTTGCAAGTTGACAGTACTTTTAATGTCACCTTTACACTTGACAACGCTACTTTTTATATAGATTGAATCACCCTATAAGTAGTGAATAATGCCTGCCTTACCGAGACTATCTGGTTCAATTTTGCCATTTTATTATTAAAACATTACTTTAAATGTTATGATAATAAAAGCGACTAAATTTTGGAAGTTTGGTACATATCTATATTTTAAATATTTACGTATAAGGCAATGTACCAAAAAAAATTTCCAGTATTCAATTTTTACTGTGATCTATAATTTTAAGACTGCCCTGTATAAAAAAGTTAATCATAAAATGCAAAAACATACAAAAAATCAAAGTTGCTGGGAATTTTGACCCCTGACCTTGACTTTTCATTTAAGAATGTAGTTTCACTTATTACAAGCATGTTCAATATCGCTAAAAAAAAATTCCTCAGGGTGGTCTTGATTTAAACCTAGCTAACATATTTATTTTGATTTGTGAACAAGAATGAACTATGTACATATTTATTGAAGTTTCTTGTTTCAATGTTGGTGATAAAACATTGTTATCTGTTTAGGGTAGAATAATAAATATAAACCAATTGAAATTGTAAGTTTTGACGATAATAATTCCTTTGCACTCTGTATATTTTTAATTAAAATTGTAAAGGGCTCAAAATTTGGAACACAGGACACTGTCATGAGAACAGTCAAGTGTGCTGGCTGCCTATATATAATTTCGTGCTCTAAAATGTTAAATATGTTTTGTTAATAATTGTTTCTTTTTTGCCAATTACTACTTGTATATATGTGATGTAAATATTAATTATCTTTTTGGACCTCAAAGTTTGAGCTTTGATATCCGTTGTATATATGTTTAAAAAGCATTCCTTCACATGTTTTAATCACTCTAGTCAATTTTTATGATATATTTTGTCGATTTGGACTACAAATATTTTATACTTTTTGTGAAAAACAAAATTTATTTGTAGTTCAAATTTTGCCACAAGTACAGTTAGTGGTGGTTGCCGTTCATTTGTTTTTAACTTCACAGCGGTGTTGTCAAAAATGTTGAAAAAAAAATGTTTTGCGATGTTGTCAGATCGCCACCACACGATACAGTCAATGTACATTGATAAGGGACTATGGTAATAAAATAACATACACGAGAATTATTTGTTTTATTTTTTGACCAACCCATAAATGGTTAAAAAAATTAGGTGAGGAGATTATATGGATTCCATCAAAAACACTGTAGAATGTCAAAAATGTTTTAGATTGCCAAAACCATATTTAAGAATGTACCTAATAGTCTGGGTTTAAGTATTTTCGTAAGTAATATCATAAGGGCATCTTATTTTTCCGAAAAAAAAATCGAAAAAACACGTTGCTAAGTAATATTTTAACAAGAAGCATGATCATGCACTCGAGTGCTGGTGGCAACAAAAATCCGAGTCGAAGACGAGGATTTTTGCACCTGCACGAATGCATTTTGTTTAAAAATTATTACTTAGCATTGTGTTTTTTTCGATTTTTTTCACATGAAAAATTAGATGCCCGAATGGTAAATGACAAGACTATTTCATGAGTAACAGTTAACAATTAAAATATAAATTGCAATTTTTGGTGACAAGGGAAATAGTCATTTAAAAAGTTTGATAAATAAATAACAGTAGGCCCACCGTGGGCCGCCCACGATACTCAAAAACCGGTATGATGATGCGCATATGCACATATGTTATGTGCGAACCAAAAGCTGGCGAGTAACTGGAGTGCGTTCGAAATTGGAGTGTACTTTGGATATGGTATAAGGATAGGTATATAATCACGTGACTTAACATTATACCTGACCTTGTTATTTTCGAACGCCGCGGAGCATAATATATTAGATATATTATATCTATAAACTTTATGTTGTAGTGTTCTAAAATCAATTGGTTTTGCTTGTTATTTGACCGAATACATATAAATATTAAATTATTGTATTTTAACCATTTAGTTATATGGTTTATTCAAGTTTTTGGGATAGATTTTGTTTTGTTTTGTAGAATTGATATTTTTTAAATAATTTATTTTAAATAAACTATTTTATGTTAGTGTTTTTCGTTTTTGTTTTATTGAATTTTAAACAGATATAAATAAATTATATGAATGTAAATACAAATTATTGTTTGATGTACCCTATGCGCATGACGAGTAAAACTTAACCAAGTCTAAAGCTTGGACCATAGAGAAAGGCTTCTATGTCTATGGCTTGGACAACCGAGAGCAGCGTTGCCAACCGTACCATAATTATGGAATTGTACCATAATTTCACTATCTTTTCCATAATTTTTTTACGCGTACCATAATCAATAATTGTACCATAATTTTGCAACTTTGCGTTAATCCTCATTTAACGGCAAAACGATTTTTTCAGTTAATTCTTGTGATTTTAAAAATAAATGTGTAATTTTTGCATATACCTATAATAATAATATATTATAGGTATATGAATTTTTGTGTTTTTAATTTTTTATACCATTTTTGTTTTGAACAGTTGGCTATTTTGTCTGCTCAAACTGGCTAAATATATTCTTTTTCTATGAGCTAAATCTCATTTTACATACCTGCAGGTATGTATGCCATGGCAACCCTACTGACCACTGAAACCTGACTGTCAGATGTCAGTCACAGAAAAAGAATATATGTCAGTGGTCTGATTCGATGACAGATCTGTCATCACAAGTTCTTTATCTATGCATATGTAATCAAGTAAAGTATTAAATTAACCATGGATACCTCTGACTTATTTTTTGAAAACATTTAAGTTTTAAATATTTTATTTTTTTTATTAAATTAGAAATGAAAATGTGGTGTTGTTTTTTTTATATTTTTTTACTCTATCCATTTAAAAAAAACTGCCTCTTATTTATATTTTAGAAGGTGTACCATAATTTTATGAATTGTACTATAATTTTGAGGGTTGTGTACCATAATTTGTTTTCACAAGGTTGGCAACACTGACCGAGAGTGCACTCTGGGCATATACTTAAGTAATTGCTGTTTTCGAACAGTTGACAGTTGCATATTTCTAGGTATATATGTACCAGAGAATTCGAACGCGCATGGTAAACTTGCCCAAGGAGCAAAAACTACTTTTTAGTTAAAATAACATGTTTTTCACGTCACAAACAAGTCATATGTCCGCCCTAAATGACATCACAAATATGACATCCTAAAATAACGTGATTTGGATATTGAAATAACGTTATTTTGTGACATCCTAAATTTACTTTTTGAGACAATAAAAAGAATTCTTAGTATTTTTTTTTGCAACATTGTGAAATGCTTATATAAACATTGTGAAATGCTTATATAAACATTTAGCGAATATACGGTAAGACATGCAATTAGAAAAATAACTTAGCTTGATTATTAGGTGCTGGAATTGATCCATTTCGCATGCCGCCCGCACGTGTGGTAGCTCAGGAAATTTTCATTGGAACTGATCGTCTCTCTCACACCTTTTAACCAGGTCCAACACTTGAGGATTTAATCCAGGGGGAGGTACCACACACCATTTGCACTCTTTTGCACTTGGGACAGAAATCACGTGTAGAATCGATATTGATTTTTTATTATTTTACGGCGTTAACCAGTTATCACGTTACTACGTTTGTATCGTATACGCTGCTTATGAGAGATCTCGTTGAGCATGCTTACACTTCAAGAGTGAGAAAAAAACATATTTTATTTACAAGTAAATAAAAATTAACAAACTCAAACATAAACACACTTTAAGCAAAAGCAATAAATAAATAAACATTTTACTTCTTTACAAATATTTTTGAAAACTATAATTTTTTTTAACAACTTAACATTTTTTAATATTTTTTTATAAAAATTTTCACATGTACATGGTACCTACGTTAAAACCAACATCGACTTAAGTGTTTCTACCGACAATTGAGATTTTTTACTTGTTCATGAAGGCACAAAAAAATTCAACAATTATTAGTATATTATTATTATATTTATATTTTCTAACAAACTATAGTTTTAACAATAAAATGGCAAAAATCACAATACCCTGACTAGATATTTATAGCTAAATTGTCACTTAATTAAATATACTTGTATTAATCTATGATTCATGTATTATAATAATGAATGAATACAGTACTGTTTGGTTCAGTACCCTGTTTCAGTATGTAAGATGATGACGCTACAGAGTATGCGCACTGCGTATTGCACAGTTGAAATATCTTTAGTTTCGGGGGGACGTCCATACCTTTTCAAGCGCTACGTTGCCAGCTTTAAATTGAAGGTTTTAGAAAGTAAAGTAAATATAATAATGTCAGTATTTACAGGCAAAATACAGGACATTTTACAGGACGCCCACAATACAGGACAGTGGGAAAAAAGAAAGGACAGTCCTGTAGAATACAGGACGTATGGTCAGCTTAAATTAAAACTGTTTAAAAAATTAGGCAGTAGCGACACCTTTCGTCTTTTCGTCTATTAGCAGATTTCTTTTTATTTCAGAATTCGATTTTGTTTTATAAATTTGTGTCGCATACAATATCTAATCTATCTAATCTATGCATACAACAGATGGCGAAAACCACGACTCAAAATAAGAGTCCCTATAAGGACTCTACTCAAGATGGTTTCTTGTAGAAAGAAAAGTTTTTTTATTGATTGCTTATAATAGTGTAGTTTTTTGCTTACTTTATCAAAAAAGTGTAGCAAAACAATAAATTTGCCATTGGGGTGCCCCGGTGTAGCTACTTGTTAAAAAGTGTAGCATTTTGCACAATTGTGTAGCTTGGAACAACCCTGACTACGTTTAATAAATAAAGACAAATGCATTATGAGACGTGGGAGTGGTGGAGTGACGTAATAGTAGTGGGGCAAGCCAGACCACGCCGCGCGGCTACGATCATCGTTGATCAGTGTTGCCAACAGGGCGGTTTTCCCGTCAAATATGGCGGAAAAAAAATTGACTTGACGGATAAAAAATGGTTTTAGCGGATAGCGGATTTTTTGGCGGAAAGTATTAAAACTTCTGGCGGATAACAGTTGCAAAAACCGCTAAAAAAGTATTAAAAAAAATATAACTTAGTTAGTTCTAAGTTTCTAAAGAGTTGGCGAAACCTATTAATGTTTGACATTTGACACTTCCAATGAAATTGTCGGTAAAACAGTGCGCAATAAGATAAACTATTTTAATGCGCACTGTTTTACCGACAATTCCTAGTGTCAAATGTCAAACATTAATAGGTTTTGCTAGGTTATTTGAAATAACTTATTTCTACGAGTTTCGCCAACTCTAATTATTTCTCTAGTTAAAGACATCCCATTAAAGTGTGTGTAGAAGAGGAGATGAAAGATAGGAAATTAATTGTTGCTTAAAATATGTTCCCTGATAGCACACTTTATTCTAAGAATGTTTTTTAAACTTTCCAGTGAGAATATTCTCATGCTTAAAAGACATATAGCATGATCCTAAGAATATTCTTACTGGCCTATAGGCAGGTTCTTAGAAGGTGCAAAGTGTTAAAAATTAGTCTATTCTAAACATATATGCTTAGAATGTTAAGAAAGTAATTGCTATAGAAAGTTCATTTAGGAATATTCCTGTTAAGCATATTTAGTTCAGTTACCTATATAATAGTAAAATATACCATAAACTATGTATAAAGGTATATACTTAAGTACCTAATTAGTAATTACTATTAATAAGTATTAAATACTAAGTAAAAAACCCAATCCAAAATATTTTTTACAGTTATTTGTCAAATTAAAACAATATTCGATAACAAAAATACTTTTACTAGGTATAGGTATTTTATTTTATGTTAAAAATAAATATTTATTAGGTAATTTATACAAATTACCTACCGATTTTTTATTTCTGAATGATAATCCTAACTATCTTCAACTTCAATCTAATCTGACATCCCACAAAATTTTCCAATTTTACTTTTTATGAAATAATGTCATACAACTTATGGTTTAGATGTCAAATTGTTTATTTAATATTTTTAAATAAATATATATTAATATGTCGCAAATTTTTTTAAGGGGACGACAAAAACATTTCACTCTCATATTATGACAGTGAGGCGTATTCCGTCTCCTGAAGAATTTTACGAATGTAGAATACAACATATTAGAACGTGGGTAT